ACCCCATCGCACCCCCCGCCCCACCCCCCGACCCACCCATGCAGCACAAACACACGTACCATGTCAGCGCATCACACCAACAAAGGGCCCGGGATGTCATGTCCCTCACGGTGAGGTGATCCGGACCTTTCCATTGAATGCACCATGGCCAGAAAAACACAGCGCACATCGATGAGTGAGTGAATGGGAAGACAGGAGCGAGTAGGACCGTTCGCTGCCAAAGCCAAGATCGAGGCCAATGCCAAAACCAAAGGTAGGAAACCGGGAGAATTCCCGGTTTCCTACCTTTGCCTCCTGCTTTGGCCTTGCTCTTGGGTTTGGCAGCGCACATCGACAGAGGCATGCAGGCACGCACACGCCGATCGCCTAGTATTCACATGGCTGGCTCACATGCCGATCAGCGAGCCGACGGCAATCATGCCCGAGGCCGTCACCAGCAGCACCAGCGTCACCACACTCCCGTAAGACACAAAAGTCCGCCACTACGTACACAGAGAGACAGAGAAACATCACATCACACCCACACACGTGTCATCATTCCCTCTCCCTCTGCTCATGGCGTACTTACTTTGATTTGTGTGCCCTTCCTCTTGACGGTTTGCAGCCACATGACGCCGCACAGCGTGGCGATGGGCGTCAGGTTCGCGCCCGCATTGGACGCAAAGATGGCCGACAGGGCGCTGCTGCGCAGCAACACGGGGGACACCTGATATCGACACACACACACATCAGCACACGTGCACCATTGGGGTGCGTGCGGGTCTGTGTGTGAGTGTGTGTGGAGAGGTGGAGGTGGTCCGCCTACGTTGAAGTGTGTGTTGCTGAGCATGTGTGCGAAGAGGATGCTCATGGGCTGGTTGCTGAGGAGGTTGCAGCACAGCGTGCCCAGCAGCCCCACCACCAGGGACGCCGAGAACACATCCATCCGCTCCAGCACCCGGCCCAGCCCCCACGACAACACGCTCGTCACACCTGATGATGAAATGGGACCCACAGAGAGACCATTCTCCCCCACCGTCACATGACGATTTTCGCCTCTCTCTCTCTGATTGCTTACCGATTTCCTGCATCTCCTGTATGAGCACAAACATTGCCAGGAGGAAGGGCACCAGCTGCCACGGCAGCTGACCCAGCGTCCCGCACACCGTCGGCAGCCGCCGCTTCACCAACCTCGCAGGCACCACACACCACTTCCCCAGCCACTCCGCGCCCGCCTCCATCTCAAGCTGCTCCCGCGACACCATCCCGTCTATGTCGAACTCAGTCGCCCGAGTGCTGTCCGTGTCGAAGCGAGAAGCGAAGGTCTGCTGGTCCGACGCCACGCGCTTGACGTTGAATCCGAGTGTGTGTGTGTTGATTGGCAGGGGGGGTCCGTCTGCAGTGACCTGTGGCGACTGGTGGATGAACTTGAGGCCGCCCTTGGTGGTGATGACCCGGGGGGGAAGGGTGTTCATGTTGGTGCGGCCGACCACACGGCCCCCGCCGCCGCCGCCTGGCGGGGAGGGGGGAGGGGGGGAGGTCTGGTGCTCACGCTCATGGACGCAGATGCGGTGAATCACGTGACCCTGACCACATGAACACACGCAACGGTTAATGCGATGCCATCAGCAGCAGCTTGTTTCGCCTTACGTGGCCTGTCTCTGTGTCGCTGTCCGGCGATCCCCCGTCCTTCATCTCCTCCTCGATAGCGTCGGCCGGGCCAGACTCGACGTCGCTCTCATCGTCGTCATCACCGTCGCCCCCTCCCTCCCCACCACCCTCCTTCTCGTCACTCTCAGCCACCAGCGGAGGCAGCACTGTCGACTGTGGGTGCGAATGTGCCCGTGAGCGGCCCGCCGCACTCTTGTTCTCCCCGGCCTCCAAGGTGACTCCACCCAGCTCGACGTCGGCTGTTTCCAGGGCGCGCTCGGAGACCTCGGAAGGGGCGATGGACGGCAGCTCCTTCAGAGTGGGCAGACGGTCCACCTGCCACCGCGCCGAGCCCCGTGGGTCATGTTTGGACGGCTTGTCTTCGGCCAGGGTGGTGGCGGCCGCCGACAAGTCGGCCATCGACGGCTGCGGCGAGATGGCCGACATCCAGCTGTCACACCGGTCGCCGAAGCCGGTCACCGTCGATGCCGTGCTGATGCGCCGCGAGGGCCCCTCCGGCGTCATCTCGTCTTTCTCGCCAGCACCATTCGCCCCCGAGGTGGTTGACAGAGAGGGCCTGGCGGTGCAGAGGTCGAACACGAAGTCGATGGTCATCATGAGTGCGGCGAAGATGACGGCGATCTGCCAGACGTCAAGGGGCAGGAAGTCGGAGATGAGTATGAGGGCGAGGCAGGTGCCGAGGATGGCCATGCCGGCCTTGGCGCGCCGGGGCTGCTTGAGGGCCGACTTGGTGGCGGCCTTGCCGACAGGGAGGTAGACGGGCAGCTGAAGGAGGCAGAGAGGGGGGAGGGAGGGAGGACACCACACAGTGGGTGGATGAGAGTGTGCTTGCTTGATCACTGTGCTGTGTGTGACTTGTCTGTGCGTATTGTATTGTGTGACTTGCCTTGGGCCTAAAGATGAAGTAGACAGTGGCGAAGGCGGCGAAACCAGCTATAATGGTGGGAACAGCCAGGTGCCTGCAAACATGACCACACCACACCACACCCACATGCACGTTGCGCAGACAGTGGGTGCAGTGCATCTCACACATGTATCTCTCTCTCCCGTAGTCAGTCACTCACTTTGAGAAGGCCAGCACGTCAATCCCGGTAGCGTTAGCAATGATGATGTTGGTCGGGTTCCCCACATACAGAGCGCTCCCCCATATGTTGGCCGAGAAGAACTGACCCAGCAGATACGGCACCGTGTCCGCGTCCGTGCTCCTCCCCAGGTACAAAATGATGGGCGTCAGGGTCAGAATGACGATGTCGGAGCTGACGAAGAACGTCAGCAGAGACGACAGCACAAACAGGATCACAAACAGCCGCCGCCCGGAGCCTCGGGAGAAGCGCGTGGCCACATGTGAGAGGTGCTCGAAGATTCCTGACGCGTCTAGAGAGAGGGAGAGGTACGCCACGGCCAAGAACAAGGCGAGAAGGGCCAGTGGCTGCACACACCATCCCATCACCACAACACAACACAACACGTACAGGCACACCCTGTGACCTCCCCTCTCTCCCTCCCTTCTGCAGACGTACCTGCACGCTGTCATCCCCGAGTATTCCCAGCTCCAGCACCTTCCTCGGCACCACCCCAGAGGCCGCCAGCAGACACGCCACCGTCGCAGGCACCGTCACGTAGTTGAAGGGCACCTTGAGTCGCCGCGAGAGGGCGCCGGGGAGGGGAATCGGGATGGTGAAGGGCAGCAATACGCTCACAATGGCTGTCAGCAGGCCTGCAGTGGCGAGGCCGATACTCACAGGGCTGCTGGCGTCGAGTCGCGCAAAGGCGGCAGTGTCGGATTTCACACTGCTCGCTGCGTCGGACATGGTGAAATGGCTTCGTCTTGACCTGAACTACGTCAAATATCCTTCCTCGAAGATTTGTTCCGCCGAAAATGGTTTCACAGGATCCGAAAGTCGCACTGGCCGTCCTGTCGCGCGTCACTGTGCTGGTGATGTGTGTGTGTGTTTGCAGAGATGGAGAGCCTTCGAGGATGCGCTGGTTGATAACAGGTGAAGCAACAGGCATAAACAGGCACTTCAACATCTCGCTCTCTCCACCCGCTGGTCCTTCGCTGCTGTTTGTACGCCACTGAGGACGACGAGAATCAGCAGTGTAGGGCAGAGAGGTCCTTTGCACTTGACTGGCCAGTTGCCGCTGGGACATCTTCCTTTCTCTCGACTGAGACGGTCACCGAGCACAGAGCCAAATGGACATTCGTGAGCTGAGCTTCTGCGCCATTGTTTGTCCATCAGGTGGTGGTGAGATCATTGAATTGTTGCAGTTGTACTGCGTAGCTGAAGAGAGCTGTTCTGTGTTCCTGTGTGATGCCACAGGGAGGGTGCTGTGCGCTGGGAGACAGATGGACAGATGGATGGATGGTATTTGCTTGTGCGTGTGTGGATGGTGGGACGGATGGCATTCCATTCTTTCACATGACCGTCTAAATATCTGTATCTACTCATGGGGTATGCTGCAGCTCATCACACGACGCACTCACTGATGGATGGACGCGACAAAGAGTCACTGCGAGAGAGATAGACAGATACATACCAACAGACAGACAGACAGACCGAGGACAGAGGCCTGCGAGACCCCGCACACCTACAGACACACACATACAACACAGACACGCACCCCTCAGCCACCACGCACCCGACGCACCACGCACACCAGTAGAGAGCCCCGCAATGAACGCATGGGGGCATGCCACACTTGTGCGAACACACACACACACACACAGGCAGGCAGCTGTAGGCAGGCAGACAGACAGATAATACGAAGCAGGGGCAGAGCTAAAATTGAGAGCTCCTTTGCGTGGCCGCTAGCTACTATTGTGTGCACGTGATAGCACTGCACTTGGCTGCCAGCTGAGCTGTCGTCGGCTGGGTGTGGTGTGGTATATGGAGTCCAAAAGCGCCAGCCTGTCTTGTCTTGCAAACAACATATCCAAAAACAAACATGGATAGATGGATGGATATCCATCATGCCTCGCCATGCAGCCGCATCGCGGTCACATAAATACGATGGGTAGGTCGGTACTAGAAAGAGAGACAGAGACAGAGGGCACTGGACTCACAGACAGCATACCTATATATAGACACGCGCACACGAAGGCAAAACCACCCTGGGAGGCTTCTATCTGAGCCATCCTGTATGTGTCCCTCCCTCCCTCCCTCCCTGGTCGTTGAAAATGTCCATCCATACACACACAAACTACCGTATCAACCAACATACCATACACAGGTACATACCCACTACAAACAACCCACCACCCACGAGCGACCGACACAACGCCCCCCAGCCCCTATTTATGTGCTGGCCAGCATCGCATCGTCCACTGTCGAATCCACCTCCATGCTTCCCGCCTGCAACTGCTTCTTCTGCTGCTGGTGCTGCCGTGGCCCGTCAGGTTTGTGTGCTGGAGGGCCGCCCGGATGGTGTGGCGGTTGTTCGCCACCTGGCCGCCTCTTGGGTGGGGGGGCCACAGGCTTCGGCTCCTGCTTCTTCTTCGGTGGGTCGCCTTTCCCTCCCTTGCCCGGCGGCTGTTTCCTGCCAGGGCCCTGAGGCAATATCTCTGCACCAGAGACAGCACAGTACACACAAGTTGAGACAGACACAAGTACGCCTTAAGTCGGTCGGTCGGTTACTGGTTCTGATATGGATGAGTGCCTTCTCGGCGTTGACGAGTCCGAATCCCGTCCCGTGGTCGAATCCCTTGTCTTGCGTCTTTGTGTTGGGGTCGTTCATGTCGGTGGCCGACTGCTTGAAGGCCTCGTACACCTGACCCGGCGCTAGCTTGGGGTGGGCCTGCAGCAGCAAAGATGCCGCCGCTGCCACGTTGGGCGCCGCTGCTGACGTGCCGAAGAACTGTTCAGAAGGGATGCGTGAGACATACACGGGTTGCACATACACACATAACATATAGGGAGGCGCTGGTCTGTCTTCTCACGTTTGGGTTTCCGTCCTTCTCAGGGTCCATGCCCTCGATGAAGAATGGCGTGTTGGTGCCATCCTGAGACACACACAATGCACACACACACACACAATGCACACACACACACCACACATGTCAATCAGAGAAGCGCCCATCGCTGCTGTATCGCCTGATGACCTACCGGTCCGACAACATCAGGTTTGGCCCGGTATTGGAATTCCTTGAGCCTGCTGCCATCGCTCCTGAAGAAGATGTGCTGTGGTCCTGCGGAGGAGAATTTTTCGATTTTCAGCGGGTTGGAGGAGTAGGGTGGCGTGTCATTGTAGAAGACCGCCCCCACGGCACACGCCCCCATGGCGTTGGCGTGGCCGTAGACGGTGCCCGAGTGGGTGTAGAAATCCAAGACATCGACGCCAGAGGACGAGAAGAGGATGTACTTCATGGCCGGAGGAGGCGGGCCCTCGAAGAGCTCGATGCCGAGGTAGAAGATGCTGTCGGGCCCCTTCTTGCCGTCGGCATCGACCGTGCCGTCGTTGAAGTACTCAAATATTTCCACCGGGTCGCCCCCCTTGTTGCCATTGACACCGCCGAACGACACGCGCTGGCCGGCCGCGTTGTACATGACCACGTCGATGTCGGTCTTGGCGCCCCCGTTCTCCTTGTTGCTGACCGAGTAGAAGGGGTCCACCCACTGGAAGACGCCCAGCACGCGGCTGCCCTCGGGGATCTTGACGCGCTGCAGGTCGACCACCTTGTCGTCGCTCGGGTCGAAGTCGTGGCGATGGCCGGCGAAGCCCTTCTTGCCGCTCTTGCGGAAGGCCGACTCATATGCCGACCGGCCGTTGTTGCCCGCACTGGAGAAGTAGGCCACGCCTTTGCTTTTGACGTCATCCACTGCCTGAGCAATCACGCCGTCCTGGTACATGGGCTCTGCACACATGACACACGCGTCAGGGGGGAGGGAGAGAGAGAGAGAGAGAGAGAGATGGTCACTGGCCCGTGAGTGTCGCACCAGCAAAGTAGATGACGTCATCGACGATGATGTCCGCACCGGCCTCCTGCAGCTTCTTGATGCCTGACGCAAACGACGCCACGCCGTTGAAGGCCGTGTGGAAGATCTGCTTGGCCTTGGGCGCCACGTCGTAGATGAGGTTCATCATGGCGCGGCCCTCATCGATGCCCTTGGGCCCCTCTGCCAAGATCTTGACATCCGGAGGGAGGTCGTGGTTGGCAATGTCCTTCTTGGCACTGGTCCGCGGGGAGCCGCTGGCGGGATTGAAGTTGTCGTAGCTGTCCGAGAGGATGCCTATGTTGACGCCCATGCCGTTCAGACCATGCTTGTTCATCAGCACGTCGGTCCGCATGGCGTGGTGCGCCTGGCTCATCACCTTGCCCTTCTGTGACTCTGCCACCAGATTGTTATCGCTCTCACTCGCCGCTGCCCCGCGCAACCTCCCCTGCTGCTGCGCGGCTCTGTCCGTATTGAACCCCTCCAATCGCAATGACAGCTCTGCCATTGTCATGGCAGCCGCGGGGCCGACAAAGTGGAGCGATGACAGCCTCTCCAGCCGGGCGATTGAGCCGACAGGGAGCCAGCCAGACACGTACTTGCCGAATGCGGTGACGTTCTCGAGCCCGACCTCCCTCATCTCCTTCTCGAGTGAGCTCGTGACGTCGTGTTTGGCGACGGCGTCGATGAGGACGCGGCCGTCCTGGACACGCATGACGAGGGAGTCGCTTGTGGCCGGGTGCAGGGAGGAGGGGATGAAGGCCGACAGCTCAGCACCCTTGCGGGTGGTCTGGCCGAGGGCGCGCAAAGTGCTGTCGATGGGACTCTTTTTGCCCCTCTCAAGGGCATCCCGGGTCTGCTGGGCCGCAAGCTTCGTGACGCCGCCGTACTGTACATCTGAACGCCACACGACACGAAGGTCAGTCAGCATCTGTCCATCTCTCCTCTGAGTGTGTGTGTTCCTCACCTCCCGTCTGCGCATCAGCAGACGCAAGGAGTGCGAAAAACAGACCACGAAGCAAAAATTGCATCATCGACCTCTCAACCGTTCGTCCAAACGGCAAGTTTACGCAGCTCGGATCGCTTTGTTCAGAGGTTGCGTTCCTTTTGTGTGTGGTGAATAGCTTTGTTTATGAGACAGATGTGAGTGTGTCATATGCATTCACGTCAGTCAGAGTCATGTCAGTCTATATCTGTGTTTGTTGCAGGCTCAAACATGTATCAGATGTGTGTATGGACGCACCACACGCTCCCTCCCCTCCCTCCCCCCATCTAGCTAGTGCTTCTGGGCAGCCTTGGCAGCCCTCATCCTCTCCCGTAGCATCGACATTCTTGCAAACTCCGAAATGGAAACTGCACACGTCGAGGCAGCTCACTCACCGAACTCCGATTTGATGGTGGTGGGCTCGTCCTGGTTGGACAGAGTGACCTCGCGATTGCCTGGGCACCCATCCAGCACCAACAGAAGCGTCGAGTAATGCCATCATACACTCTTTCCGCATCTTTCCGTGTGTGTCTTACGTACCGTCGAATGTCTCCCATTCCTTCCCGCCGTCTGCCCTACGGAGCACGTACTTGAATTCTATCACACGCAACGACGGCAGGCTGAGTTCTCCGCTGCTCCAGATGGGGAAGTTGTAGCCGTCCATCCGTACCGCCCTATCCACATCCCAATCGCCGAGCTCACTGACGCCGCCGGCGACGCAAAGCTCATCGCCAGGCCTCGTCCGCACACACTTGCACTCAAACACGACCTGTGAGAGACGGTGGGTGCCATTGACCGATCGTATGAAGATTGCTGGCTGGCTGTTCCTCTTGTTTGTTCTTACCTTTGATGTGTTTGTCGGCTGCAGTGCCGTTGAGGACGGTACAGCGGCGGTCGAGTCGACAGTGGTTGTGTTGACGGGCGGCGGTGATGAGCTGGCCTGTGGAATGGCTGGGCGTGACGGGGCCGGCTGCTGGGTGGTGGGGCGACGGTCGCCAGCCTGAGGCAATGAGAGACACACACAGAGACAACCGATCGATCCATCGCGGCTCAATAATGGTGCAATCGACCGGTCGTACAAGGATTGCTCGCTGTCTCCTGCCTTCTTGTTTGCACGTACCATTGACTGGCGCGAGTCGACACTGGCGGTCTTGAGCGGCGGTGATAATCTGGTCTGTGTGAAGACTGTCCGTGTGGGAACACACTGAGTACAAAGGTGAAACACACACAGACCCCAACCAACCGCACGTTTGCACCACTCATCCAATACATCGAGGCATTGCGTGTGTATCCAGCCCACCGGCGAGGGGTGTCTGAGGGCGCCATGGATTGAGCGTACGAGACGCGCGAGGTCCGCCGCAGCTAAGCGGCTGCATGAGCTGGTGGTGCTCTCCCCCGCCAGCTTCACGGTGCCCTTCTTCTCGGCTCCTTCGATGAGAGAGAGTGCCTTATTGATGCGGCGGTGGAGACTGGACGCGTTCGTCTTTGCGGCCCTGAGCTGCTGCAGGATCTGTGCCTCGGGAGGCGGGGGCGGGGGCGGCGGGGTGAGCCGCTCCAGTCTCGCCTGCGTGTTGGTCTGCGCAGCTGACGATGGGTCCTTCCTCAGATTGGACTCGCTATTGATGCCGTTCGCAGCACCAGCGAGAACGGACGGGCCGTCCTTGCCGGGTGAGTCTGACGGGGGCGGGGGAGGGGGCGGGGGTGGTGTGGGTGGGCGAGCCGCGTGACCACCAGCAGTTGGAGCGGGCGAAGAGAGCATCATTGAGGCGGCAGCAGCAGTACTACTGGCCGGAGAAGCAGAGGAACCATCCAATGTGGCCCGTTGGTGCAGGAGCTGCTGCATCAAGACACACAGCACAGACAGATGCATGTGCACTGTGGGTGAGCGACTGCGTCTTTCTTCGCGTGTCAAAAGCGTACCTTTTCCTGCAGTTCCTTGAGCTGCACGTTTTTGGCCTCCAGCTGCTCCTCCAGCGACTGGATCTTCTTCATCATCTCGGCATGACTCATCGGCCCTCCCGCACCCACACCCTCCTCGTCCCCAGTTCCGACACCCACATCGGCGCTGTGGGCGGTCTGGTGGCGGCTTACTGCAGCACGTCCAGTGTCGACCATGGCCTTTGGGTGGGGTCGACGGACGGGAAGAGGAGGGGACTCCCCGGCCGTCCCGCCGTGTGTGTGCGTGTGGTTGAGGAAGGCCATGCCATCCGCCCTGAACAAGTGGGGAAACTTCTGCTCGAGTAGGGAGGGAGGACCCCTGCCGCCGCTAGATGTGACGGTCGTGCCCAAGCGCTGCTCGTCGGCACGCTGCGTCATGCGCAGGGTCTGCGCAGCGATGTCCTCCATGGTCATCGACAACGAGTCCTGCTCGGTCAGGTTGAGTGAGTACTCAAATGCGTCCATCCCCATGCCCGCATCGCCACCGTCGCCGATGTTCATATCTTGCTCGGTGGATCGAGGTGGGGGTGGGGGTGGGGGTGGGGGCGGGGGGGAAGCGCCGGCCGTGGTGGTGCCGTTGAGCACGCCCTGCGAGACGAACGGGGCCACCTCGCGGGCGGTGTCGGTGTTGTTTGATGTGGGGCGGGTGTCGGTCTGGTTCAATGTGGTCTGCGACAGCCACCCATCTCCTCCATTTGCACCGCCCCGCCGCCAACCCTCAATCCACCAAAGCCTGTTATCCGAGTCGGTGTCCTACACGCATGCATCAAGGAAAGGTGAGAGCCGAAAGGCGCGTGCTGTCGATTGTTTGCCATTCAGTCATTCACCTCTTTGGTCGATTTGTTTTCGGCGGTGTTGCGGATGAACCAGTCGCCCATCGGATGCCACCTCTGCACACACGATACACACACATGATGCGACGGAAAGCACCCGCTGGCATACCTGTCTGTCAGGCCCGGTGGAGAGTAGCCCAGCAGCAGCACCACCACCACGACCAGCAGCAGCAGGGGACGATGGCAATCCCTCTGTGCTTGTGCCGAGCCACTCGCCGCCGCCCGTGTCGGTGTCTTCCAGGATGCACCTCTGCATGTACTCCTCGTGAGATGGGGACGGTGCTGGGTCTGCGGATGCGGAGGGAGGGACGGTCGAGAACAGACTGGCGCTGCCGCTGGCAGTGAAGGTCCCCAGTAGGTCCTCCATCATCTCCCAGGTACCAGAGGCAGGCCGCACAGACGCCTACACCTGCACCGCCACAAATACACACGCACACGCACACACACAACGAATGCGATTCCTGGCGGTCTTGTGGCCGTGGACTGACCTTTGGCGCGACGTTACAGATGACAAGAGGCCAATGAGAGGCGGGCAATGGCATCGATGCAGTATGCAACCTTCGTGATGCATACACACCATGTACGGCGAATGCATCCACGCGTTCTGATGGTCGGTTTCTTGCCTGTGGATGTGCTGAAGCAGCTGTGTCGGTCCCGTGGCTTAATCAGCTACAACTCGCCAATGAATGCATGAGTGGATCTGCATTGCAAAGCTGAAGATGGTCCATGCCATCTCACAGCATCGATATCCGTCCCTGTCTGCAGCCCTCACCTGGCCTCCCCGTACGAAGCACAACCTTTCAGCCCTCAAACCAGGCCCTCCACCCGCGCGTTCTATCGCCGGCATTGCCCGATTTTTCATAGCTCGCACGGCGATCCTAAAAGATCTGATGTCACCTGATGGTCCGGAAGCACTGCGTCCTCCTTGGTGAGCCGCAATGAGCACAAAAGAAGAGTTGTTTCCATCCGCACTGCGTTTCGTCCATCAGTTGTGGTGTCGGCGTTTGTTGTGGCCTGCATCAACACATGGACATTCTGGCGGCTGCAGCTGCACCAACGACACGAGCACCGCGACCACATCGCACTCACGGGCATCAAAGGTCAGCAGCAAAGATCTGGACCAGCAAACACCCCGTTCGCACCCTCGTTTCCCAATGCAGATCACTATCCACGCGACCACCGTCAGCAACGGATCCTTCAAAGCCACCGTGCGCCTGCCCGCAAAATGGCCGATGTGCCGTTGGCTCAGCAGGCCCGTCCAGGAAGGACACCGGGGCCTGCTCATCTGCGGCCTCAGAGTCCCAGCATGGGTGTCACCACGGCCGCCCCTCTGTCGCCGGACTTCCTCGCCGAGCAGATGGTCCATGTGGTGCTGCCGGCAGACGGGCAGCAATACAAGGTGACTCAGTGAGAGATCGGCACACTGCTCTTGTTCTTTTTTTCCTTGTGGTGGTCTGTGTCAGCCGCTCTTGGCGTGCATCAACTCGATCCATACCAACACCAGGTACGGGTGCATGTCTGTGGAGGCACAGATGTGTGTGTATGGGCCCTCGGTGTCTTCGGCAGGAACCGCTCGCGTGTGGTGGTCCACGCGTTCGTGGAGCGAAACGACACGCACCTAGACTGCCTTGCCAAGGCCATCAAATGCCACCAATTCGACCAGGTACGCGGTCACACAACGGAGGGATGGGTGCCAGTCATTTGGGTGTCTCTGTGGCTGATTTGTCCATCAGGATTTCACGATTGACCTGCACGGCATCAACACGAGCGACGTGAGCATCGCCGGGACGTCAGCGTCTCGAGACAAGATGCAGGTCGTCTTTAACTACGTCCGCTTCTACCTCACTGAGCTCCTTCCGCCTCACGTACACAAGGTAGGTTGGGCCCTCCAGCTGGTCACCATCAGCACACCACGGCAAGGGCATTGTTGCTCTATTCGCCTGTGTGGATAATAGGCGCTTCACTTCGATGTTGACACGATCGTCAAGGGCGACGTCATCGACCTCCACCGATCTGTCTTCACGGTAAGAAGAAAAGGCGTGGGGATGTCATTCCTGCGTTACATATGACTTTGGATGCACAGAAAAAGCTGATCCACAAGAAGCCCAACGGGCGGAAGGTGGAAGAGTACCCCTTCATCGCAGCCAGGAGAAGACCGGGGGAAAAATGGAAGTAACACACAAAATCACAGAGAGAGGGAGAGACATGTACGCGCACCGACTACACAATGTGTTGTCTGGCTGTCTGGGCAATTTCAAGGTTCGGTCGATTGATGGCCCACGCTTTTGACGACATCATCGCCGCTCTCGGCATCGGATTCAACAGGCTCATACTTGCACCACAGACATGTCATCTGCCTGTTTTCGTCCCTTCGTTGCCATGCCAGAGGGATATTCAATGCTGGTGTGTTTGTGGCCAACTTGGATCTGTGGCGCGCCAAGAACCTCACGCAGGACGCTGAGATTGTCATCCAGTGGCTGCGGCAGCACAACGGGACCACGTTCACGGGCATGTCGACGGCCGAGTCGAGTCAGATCCCGCTGAACATTTTGTTCAGCCGTCGGCTAGTGGAGGAGCTGCCCGCCAGGTGGCACGTCTTGAACCTGGGTGGCGAGGACACCGAGTGGCTCAACAGGTCATGCGCCACCGGCAAATTGCTCCACTGGAACGGTAAGCTGACAGATAGACAGGCAGACGGAGACAGCTCTTATCCTGATCATCGTGTTTGTTGTGTGGGGCTGGGCTGCATGTATGTGTGGACAATGCAGGCAAGAGGAAGCCTTGGTTGGGTGACGGTTTGCACAAGCACGAGTGGCTGCCGTACTACCGGCCCGAGTGCTACCAGTACTGCGAGCCCTACATCGAGTTGAAGAAGCAGTGGGCACACCTGCCCACTCAGGAGCCGCCCTACATCGCTGAGACGGGACCTGCACCGCCATACGAGTACAGTGACGATCTCAGGGAAGATGATGTGGTGATGGTTGATGGAGCAAGTGGCGGGTTCATGATGGAGACGCATGATGAATGACGGATGTGTGGATGTGTGAGCGTGGACAATGAACTGAAAGTTGGCCTTGGATCCGTCCTCCATCCAGGGAACCGAAATGTCCTTGCACTACATATACACAGGTGTCAGTCATGATACACACACCACCGCACGCAGCCCCCACGAAAAAGTACAGGTAGGTACACGGAGAAACAGATGCAATTGCTACCAATGGCCTGTCCTGATACATGGGCAGCAGCCACAGCCATGGACCTGCATCTCAGCTGTATCCATCATCCATCCATCCAGAGGAGTGGCAAGTGTCCATACTTCGAGCTGAAGATGAAGACGAAAGTGCGCGAGCAGTACTAAGGCCAGCGCATCTTCCAAGGTCTTCTCCTCCCGCTGGTAGTCTTGACATGTGCTTGCACTTCCAGCATGCAACCTACCTGTCCTGAGTAGAGAAGCTAGCTGCCCCCTTCCCTTCCTGCAGGCGACGGCGATGCCGACGTCTCCCCTGCTGACCTCTGGCTGCCCTCCCCCTCTTTCCGTGTTGTTCCCCCCTGGCTGCCCTCCCCCCTCTCCCTCTCTCTCTTCCGATTCTCACTGTTGTTGTGCCGCGTCAGCAGCTCCATGCGCTCCCGGAATGCCAGCAGCATCGCCTCTACCACATAGTTCCCAACACCATCCCAGATGGGCACGTGCAGCATACTGCGGAAGACCACTACCGACTTGAGCGTCACCTCCGTCCCGCTCTGCTCACTGCTGCTGGGGTGCGAAGCGGGGGAGGCCAGGTGGGAGAGGCGGGCCAGCTTGGGCGTCAGCTTGACGGGCCGGAAACTCCAATCGTATTCGAGGAAGGAGGCATTCACGGCCGTCTCGTTGGCGGTAGCTATCACGCTCGAATACGGCTGCATGCATTGATGCAGCCACACGCATCCAGACACAGTTGACAGCCGCAGTAAGGACACGCCATGGTATGTGTGTGTGTGCGTGTGGATCCCACACGCACTCACCTTGACAGTGACTTGGTGTTTGACGCTCTCCTTGAAGGGCAGACCCAGCTCCGTAAAGGAGATGTCTATGACACAGTCGAACTTCTCGGCGTCGCTCGGCCGCTTGCCCACAATCCTGGACGACGAACAGAATGGCAGCCATTGGTCGTAGGTCTCAATGGCAGCCACAGCTGACCTGCACACGCCACACACACGAGCAGGCACAGACACACAGACAGACAAGGCGGGCATGATGATTCTGCCTCCTTTCCTCAATCAGTTTGCCGTCTGACCGACCAGCAGATGGGCGCAGGGAAGGGCAGGAGCTCCGTCTTGACCACGACCCTCTTGAGATCCAACTTGGTGAGAAGGATGCCCCGTGTTGAGCCGTGTCGGTGGATGCAGGCGCCATCCTTAAGGATGGTGCGGGGCAGCAGATGAATGCGGCGATCACGAAACTGCAGCTTTGCCATGATCTGACGAATGGAACAAGGCGATGAAACAGCAGCCGTTGGATCTACAGCACGAGAGGGACGATCGTTGCGGTATGACGCCAAATACTCCTGCTCGGCTTAGCTTCGAGGGTTTCGTACCCTCATCATCATCTGCAGCGTCTGCCAAAAGTATGCACCCTCGTGCTTCGCCCTCGGGTGGGCTGTGCGTTGACCCCAGTGGAGATGAATGAGGACTCAGCGGCGAGAGTGATCCAACGGTCGGCGAGAGCGTCTCTGTGGCGGCGACGAGATCAAGGACTCAGGACGGGAGACGACTCTGATGCAGACGGCGAG